TACAATCGTAATCCTTGACGAGTTCTAACCAACGGCGCTGCCTCATGTTGAGCTCCTTCTGGGTAAAGATATACTGCAAGCTCTTATGATCAGTAAAGATTTCACATTGACCGCCGTATATATAGTGTCGCCAAATCTTGAGGGCATGAAAAACTACAGCCAACTCCAAGTCGTGCGTCAGATAATTCTGTTCATGTATTTTAAGCTGGCGTGACGCATAAGCAACGACCTGGCCGTCTTGCATAAGTACACATCCCAAACCCTGCCTCGAAGCATCACTATAGATGGTGAAGCTCCGAGAAGGATCGGGTATAGTTAACACTGGTGCCGTCGTAAGCCTCCTTTTCAGCTCCTGAAAACTCGACTCACAACGGTCTGTCCACTCGAACTTTACAGACTTCCTCGTCAACTGAGACTAAGGGAGTGCAATCTTCGAAAATCCCTCGATAAATCTGCGATAATAACCTGCAAGGCCGAGGAAACTACAAACCTCGGACGGATTCTTTGGTGCTGACCAATTCTGGACTGCAGCTATTTTGGAAGGATCAACTTCAATACCTGCTGAAGTAATAATGTGGCCAAGAAAAGCCACTCGTTGAAGCCAAAATTCGAACTTGGAGAACTTTGCATATAACTTCTCTCGTCTAAGGGTCGAAAGAACGGCCCTCAGGTGCTCCTCGTGCTCCTCCTGGCTCTTAGAATAAATAAGAATATCATCGATAAAGACAATAACGAACTGGTCGAGAAAAGGATGAAATACACGGTTCATCAAGTCAATGAATACTGTCGGGGCATTACTGAGGCCAAACGGCATAACCACGAACTCGAAGTGACCGTATCTCGTACGAAAAGCTGTCTTGGGTATGTCTGATTCCTTGATTTTTAGTTGATGGTAGCCTGAACGCAAATCGATCTTAGAAAAACACACAGGCACCCCTCAATTGATCAAATAAATCGTCAATCCTGGGAAGTGGATATTTATTCTTGATCGTTAACCGATTAAGATCCCGGTAGTCGATACACATACGCATGGATCCATCCTTCTTCTTGACAAAAAGGACTGGTGCTCCCCAAGGAGAAACGCTCGGTCGTATAAAACCGAGATTCAGCAACTCTTGGATTTGGGTCTTTAATTCCTGCAATTCTTTAGGCGCCATTCTGTACGGTGCCTTTGAAACGGGTCCGGCTCCAGGGATAAGATCGATAGAAAATTCCACTTGTCGACAAGGCGGACCTCCGGGAAGCTGGTCTGGAAACACGTCCACAAACTCACGAACGATAGGAATGTCATGAGGTGAACGTGCCTTTGATTCATCTCCAACGAGGCTCACAAGATAACCCTGACAATTACCTCGTCGAAGAATCTTTCTGGCTTTCGCCATAGAAATAATATGTGGCAGAGTACGAGTCCTGGAGCCGTAATAAGTGATCTGATCTTCTCCTGGAAGATAAAGAGTAATCTCCCGGTCGTAACACCGAATATCTGCGTGAAATCGAGTTAGCCAATCCATACCGAGTATGAGGTCAAAATCCCTCATCTCGATAACATAAGTATCAGTAATCAGAATGCAGCCGACGATGGAAAGACTGAGATCGGTGGCTCTAGCGTCAGTCACTATCTTTCTTCCCGAGGCTAAACTCACCTCGAGAGGATCGACAGCGGTAGTGGAACGAACCCCAATAGCTTCAAGACATCGACGTGATATAAAAGAATGGGTCGCTCCGGTATCGAATAAGGCATAGACAGGTACATCATTAAGAATAATCATCCCGGACATGGTACCTGGATGCTGGTCGGCCTCCCTCTGGTCAACTGCAAAGACGCGGGTTGCTGTTGCTGAGGTCGTGGTGGTTGCTGGCTGGGCTGTTGTTGTTGAAGTTGCTGTTGTTGAGGTTGCTGTGGTTGTTGACGTTGTTGTGGTTGTTGTTGCAGTCGTTCTGGACAGTTGTTGCTGAAGTGACCTGGATGACGACAAAAGAAACAAACATTCTGGCCTACGAGGCATTCTCCACGGTGGTGTTTCCCGCAGGTTGGGCATTCTGGATATTTTCTGGGACGGGTCCTCCGGTCATCAAAAGTGTTTCTGTACTTTCTCTTCTTCTGGTTCTTGGACGGTTGGGTAACTTTGGGCTGGGCTGGTGATTGAGCAACTGGCTGAGCTGGTGTCTGAAGGGCTTCACGTCGGATACTGGCATCGACTTCCTGTGCAATGGCAACTGCGCGGGCGTAGGTCTGGATGTCGTGGCCTACGATGTTGTGGCGGACTGCTGGGCGAAGTCCGTCGGTGAAACGGTGGGCTCTCTTTGCTTCCGTACTTACAAGATCTGGTACAAAAGCTCAGAGACGGGTGAACTCTCGTTCGTACTCGTCGACAGTACGAGTACCCTGAGTGAGTGCCAAGAACTGGCGCTCCATGTCTGCTCGGTAATACAAGGGATAATACTTTTCTCGGATCAATTCCTTGAACTGGTCCCACGTACAACCGTCTTTTTCACCGGGACGCATACTCCAATAGGCCTGCCACCAGAGTCTGGCATCACCGGTCAGCTGGATCTGAGCACATAACATGCGATAACAATCGGGGCAGTTCATGACCTCGAAAATAATCTCGAGACCCCGAACCCATTCATCTACTACACGAGGATCTCCTTGGCCGGAAAACTTTTCTGGATGGTAGTCGCGGAACAAAGCGACCACTGTGGCCTGTGGGAGTTCCTGGTGATCTGGCTCTCTACGAAGAGGCATCTGAACATTGAAATATTTACCATGATTAAATAACATAAGAGATTAACTAACTGATTACTTAAATACACAAATCTCTTGACGAGTCGCTAAATAACCCGAGAATACTAAAGTCAAACTATCAAATAACTGAGACAATCAACTAAGTTCTGACTATATTTGAGCATCTTACTAGTTTCTAGGGTCGATAATCTGATACCCACTACTGAGCATAGACTTAAGTATTCATTTAAATATACTTATAAACTGAAATTCAGCACTTACCTGATAGTCGGCGGGCGTGAGCGTAGCGTGGTCGGGTCGTTTCTGAAAATTTCTACCTTTAAAAGTATTCAGATACACGAAAATGTGCTCTGATACCAATTTGTAACACCCCACTAGCTTACTAAAATCAGAGTGCGATTTTCGCAAATTCTTTTCTAAAATTTACATTTTATTTTGCGAAACATATATTGGGATGCTACATAAAATGTTTCTTTTCTAGAAATCCGTTAACTATGGACACATTTATGATAAACGGATTATCATTATAAAACAAGGGCGTGATACTGTATAGAACTAGACCCGAAAGCTCGGATCATCGTCTGAAAATTTACATGCTAGTTTGAAAGTCTGAAAACGTCAGCGGAATTGAAACGTGGAAATTATATACATATCAATAGTCTGCAAAAATATAAACATATTTACATGTACTGGACCAGCGACCACTCGCTCCACTCACTCCTCCGGACCGACCCTGTCTCCTAAAAAAGAAATATAATAGTGGGAGCGTGAGTACTATAAACACTGTACTCCGCAGAAACTCATACTAAATTAAACATTAATAATAATTGCATCATCATGAACAAACATATGCATATCTGCCTCTGCCTCTATCTGTAACTGCTCGTCAACAGTATAAACTGGACGTAAACTGTGTCTGCCG